CCCGGCCACCGGAGGAGGGTCCCACATGGCGCGCAGACCTCTCCTGCCGCCCGCTGCTCCCCTCAGCAGTGTACTTCGGTCCTTCTGCCTGCTCTGCTCCCCGCTCTGGCTCTGGTGAATTCTCTCACCCTCCCGCACTTCTGACTGTACCCAGTGCATGTATAAACGAAAACAAACAAAGAAAGAAAGAAAACATGCCTCTATAAAAAAAAAATAAACAGGGGCCTCCCTGGTGGCGCAAGGGGTTAAGCACCACCCTATGAAGCAATCCACAGCCCCAGCACCACGAGTTCGAGCCCCAGCCTGCCAGGGAGAAACCCACATGGCAAGGCAGACCTCTCCTGTCTCGCCCGCTGTTCCCCTCAGCAATGTATTTCAGTCAGTCTGCCTGTTCTGTTCCCATCTCTGTTTCTGGTGAGTCCTTTCACCGCCCCCCCCCCTCTGGCCTGTACCCCAGCTCTTGTATGCACAAATGGATAAATCTTTTAAAAACACACACACACATTTAAATTGCCCAACGTAAAGACAACGAGAAAGCACATCTATCTACCCGTTAGGATGGGCTTTTTTTTTTAATACGGAAAATGTCAAAAATGAACTCAGAAAACCGAACATTTACTCCAAAGAGATTAGCAAAAAAGTTTAAAACTTGAACCCAACGCTTTCTTAAGTGCTGACAGCTGTAAATACTTCTGATCCACGACTTACTTTAATTTAAAATGCAAGTCAACAAAGAAGTGGGGAACCCGGAGACCTCACTGCATCCCTCTCCCTGCGCTGAGAGGGTTCACTGGGAAAGATTTTATTTCTTCCTCACAACCTAAGCGGTAGGTGGGACCACTTCTGTCATTCCCGAGGTTTCGCGCGGGCTGGCCTTTTGGGGACCCCGGGCGGGAGCCCCGCAAGCCGACTCCCGGGCGCGCGGCCTCCACCGCGGGACGGCTGCTCCGCCACGGCCCCGGGTCAGCCGGGTCAAGGTCCCGCAGGCCGAGGCCGCGCGGCGGGCGGACGTGGTCCCGGCGCTGGACACCGCGCCCCGAGTGACCTTGAGCCTGGCCGGCCGGGACGGCCCCTGCCCTCCCCAGGCTCCGGCCCGCCCCGCCCCGCCGCCCGCGTCCCCGGCCCCCGCCGCCGCCCAGGTGGCCTTGCCCCGCGGGAGCGCGGCCGGCCCGGGGCGGAGACCCGCGCCGAGGACCCCGCGCTCTCCGCCCTGCGGCGGCCCCTCCCCGGCCGCTCCCGGAAAGGGCGGCGCTGCTCACCGGAGCCCGGGCTGGAGGCTGCCGGGGGCGGCCCGCCGCAGGAGGCCGCCGGCCGAGGCCGCTCCGCAGGCGCGTAGCACTCGCGCCGCCATCTTGCTTCGGCGCCTCGGCTCCCACCGCCCGGGCGCCGCCGCTGACGCCGCCGCCTCCGCCGCGACCCCTCCCCCGGCCGGGCCCGCCGAGGCTGGGGCGGGGCGGGGCGGGGCGCGCAGCGGCTGCACTGCAGGGCGCCGCCGCTAGGGGGCGAGGGCGCGCGGCCGCGGGGGCGCGGGGCTTGGGCTTCCCGGCGCCGGGAGGCGCGGTGGCTGGGAGGCGCGCGAAGCTGCGGGGGAGTCTGGCGGGAGGAGCTCGGTTCCCAGCGCCGGGTGCTCGGAAGGAACATGGCATGGCTTGAATGTCCTTGGGAAGCTCCGCAAGCAAAGAGTAACACTGTTGCTAGGGGAATCTGGGGCGTGGGGCGCAGAGCACTGAGGGGGCTTCTCCCCTGACACCTCTCGCGGGTTGTGCGGTGCATGTGAATACACGAGGAAAAGAAAGAAAAGGGCTCGCGCTGATGAAAGCACTACGAATGGGAACAGACCCAAGTTGTTCTGGTAGTCTTGGGCCCGTTCCTTGAGCCTCGGAGGGCTCTACCGCGTCTCCCTGCCTTGCCCGCAATCCGTGCCAGTCCAATGAGGACCCGATAAGAAATATGATTGGGTCGAGTGTGTCAAGCGTAGAAATGCAAAGGTTCACGGAATGGGGTGGCAGTGCGGACGGGAGGGCATGTGGTCACCAGCGGTGACTGTGAAGTGGAGCTGGCACACCAGCCCAGTCCCAAGGGAAGAGGAGTTTGAGGAGTGGAAGAACCGCGAACATCTCTGGGCCGGGAGACAACTGAAACCAAGGCGTGGATCACGCAGGCACTGTTCGGGGATACAGTAAAAGCGAGGCTGCAGGGAGCTCTCCCCAGGGTGGAGAGCAGTTTCCGGCCCTGCACAGCGCGGGGCAGGGTCTCTCCCAGCGCGTGATGTCAGTGAGCTCACCTGTTCATGTTCTCCTAGGAGAGGCATGTGCTTTCAAACCTATTCTGAAATCTAACTTCAGTAGACCTATCTTTGCTGACCTTGCCTTTGTATTATGAGGCAACTCATTCTGCTCTAGAGTGACGTTATTTAGAGTTTTTTGTTGTTTTAAATGGAGATAACACTGAGTTACAACACTGTACGTGATTTAGGGGGTTAGGTTCACACCTCCTCAGAAATGTCACACCATTCCCACCATCAAAGCACCCATAGTCCTTTACCTTAGGTCGCTTGTCCCCTTCCCCACTCAACCCCTATCAGCCTCCCACTTCCTCTAGTAGCCTCAATTCTGCAAGTCACATTTCTAGGGTTTGTTTTCGTTTAGTTTTGTCAGTTACTTTGTTTTTTTCTGGAGTTACATTAACCCAGTGCTTTTTACTGAGGGGAGGTATTCTTATTTCGAGGTGTGCATTTTAGGATGCTGAATGCCACTGAATAAATGAGGCAGCTTCCTGGAGCATACTTTTTACACCAAGATTGTCAGGAAAAAACCTCATGTTAAAACGAAAATGGTACATTAGAGTATATGGAACCATTAAAAATATTTGAGCTTTTAGAGATGGTTTGGCCTCTGTTCCGAGATCTGATGGTATAGGTGTCTTGCCCCTTCTAGGCTCTGGTACACTACCTGCCAGAGATCCGGATACTCTTAGATCTTTCACTCACTCACCCTGGTACCAAGCCTTGAGTTCTGCTGTGGAGTGTCATGTATCTATAACTTTTTGTCACCTTCCCTTGCACTCAAGTGAGGCCTGATGACCAGTCTCTGTACAGGTAATTATCTCCTTTCCTGTAATCATTACCCTTCCATTGTAGTCCTTGTCTACAATGATGCCATTACTCTTATTGAAAGGTAAATGTAATACATCATTCTTCTAAAAACAGTAAAAAGCCCATCACCACTTAAAGCATAATTCCTGCTATATTTCTACCCCAGTTCTATTTCAAAACGTATCAGCAATCTTCACCAACTTCCAGAACCCCTGGTAATGTGCTTCTGTCATACTTTGAGGACCTTATATTCCCCTCCCTGTACCTACATGCCCTTCACACACCACTCATCTCCTGTCATGGAGACTTCCTCTAAGAATTGGTTTTAGTACCATCTCATCTCTTCTGGGAAGTTACCCTAATTGCTCCCCCACTGATGTGCTTCTTTGTTTGCCATGACAACACCTGTGCATATCTTCCGCACTAGATCCTGAGCCCCAGAGGATGGGCAATGCCTATGGTCACTGTTGCTTGTACAATACACTTGTGTGCTTGTATAATACACTTATTAATTGAAGATAAAATATGCTTCTAAGTCTCTTTCTAGGAACAACAAAAAGCCCTGAAATATGTACCTTAATTTTTCAACAAAACTAAGAATCTCCAACTCAGATGCAGAAGTGAGAAGTTCTACAATATCATCAATGTATCAGATTTTACTAACTCACTCCTATTAAATGTAGTCTAGGATACAGGATAAGTGACACAGAATTTTATTTTATTAAAGATTTATTTATTTATTTATACAAGCATTGGGTATAGTCAGAAGCACGGGAGAGTGAGAGAATTCACCAGAGCCAGAGGGGAAAGCAGAGCAGGCAGAAGGACCGAAGTACACTGCTGAGGGGAGCAGCGGGCGGCAGGAGAGGTCCGCGCGCCATGCGGGACCCTCCTTCGGTGGCTGGGGAGCAGCGGGGATGGAACAGGTGCTGCAGAGGCTGCAGGCAGCTTTGCAGCCCAGCACTCAACCCCGGTGCCACCAGGGAGGCCCAACACAGAATTTTAAAGTTTTATTTTCTGTGTGTCGACATTTTTTATTAATATAGACTTTAATCTGATAAGGTCTACTCTCAAGCATTTGATTGTTTGGAATTGGTTAAAGAAAAAATTAATTTCAAATATAAACTATCAGGGCCTCCCTGGTGGCGTAGGCAGTTGCGTGCCGCACTGTGAAGCTGTCTGCAGCCTCTGCAGCACAGGTTCGATCCCGGCCTGTGGGTGAGCATCCCACATGATGAGCAGACCTCTCCTGTCGCACCCGCTGCTCCTCTCAGCAGTGTATTTCATCATTCTGCCTGTTCTGTTCCCTGCTCTGTACCCTGGTTCTTGTATAAACAAATCTTAAAAAAAAAATCAAATATAGGGCCTCCCCGGTGGCGCAGCGGTTGAGCTCTGGGCTGCGAAGCTGCCCACAGCCTCTGCAGCACCGGTTTGATCCCTGGCCGCCGGGCAAGAGTCCCACATGGCATGCAGAACTCTCCTGCCGCCTGCTGCTCCCCTCAGCAGTGTACTTCGGTCCTTCTGCCTGCTCTGCTCCCTGCTCTGGCTCTGGTGAATTCTCTCACCCTCCCGCGCTTCTGACTGTACCCAGTGCTTGTATAAATAAATAAATCTTTGAAAAAAAAAAAAAGGCAATCATTTAAAAAAAATCAAATATAAACTATCAAAAATAAGTATTCACTTAATGTGGTATTATTTGTTTGTGGCATCAAAAGGTTTCTTCTTCCAAAGTAAAGGCTCTAATATAAATTCAAGATATTTTTGAATGGAAACAAAACATCTTCTCAACAATGCATGTGCTAAACAATGCAGTAGACTGTCAGGCGTACTTAGTGTAATGTGCCCACACACCTTTATGAAAAATTATAACAAGCACTTTGTGCATTTACTGTAGCTATTTCATAAACATCAAAAGAGAAACTGGACAGCTGGTTAAAAAATTTATTTTTCCATAAAGGAAGCTTGTAAATTTGCTCCTTCTTCTATTCCACCTTCAGGGTTTTGAAGAGATATCAAGTTCTTTCAGATTTTCGGCTAGGTGGGTGGTTTCCTGACTGACTGGGCTTTCCAGGTAGGTGGTGCCTGCACAGGGCTTTCCAGTCACTGGGTCTATGACTTTTCCAACTTTGAAAATGATCTCAGCCAGTTCATGTTTCACATGCTTCGTGCGTGGAACAGGCAAAGCCTTGAGAAGCACAATATCTCCAACTGTGCACTGCTGAAGAGCGTCATGAGCAAAGTAGGTTTTTCGCTTATTAAAATACTGTTAAGAGAAGAAGAAAATTGGTAGTTTCCATCTATAAAGTGGTAATACAGTACAGATGATGAAAAAAGAATGCACATAAAATAAGCTGAGACTTGAGAAAAGATAACAGATTTAAGGAAGTTTCCAATGTAAGAGTTAGTGCTTAATTTTTGAAAAAACAGCTACGACTTTTCCAGAGCTGATCCTTTCCCTGAGCATTCCAGTTTATTCCTTTCAGTACCCTTGTGCTATCAATTATCTTTCTCTACATTATTCAAACTCTTCCTTCACAAAAGCAGGTTCCCGCCAATCTATAAATTTCTCCATTAGCTGTTTGATTAGGACATGCCACTTAACCACATCAAGCTCAATTTTTTCCACCATAAACTGAGGCTCCCATATGTGCACTCAAAGTACTGAGAGAATTATAAAGTAAAACGGACGTAAAGCACTTAGTTCCATACCTGGCTCAAAGTACCACAAGCAAGCCACAGATAACCAGAATCACCTATTCTGCAGGACAGCAGGTACTTCCATTTTACAGATGAGAAAAACCAGCTGAGGGAGGTTAAATAATATGCAGAGCTAGTAAACAACAGTCAGTATTCAAACTGAAGTCTTCTGATTCTGACATCAAGGATCATGCTGTCACTCTTCAGGCTTGCTCTAGAATTTCTGATCCTATAGGACAAGTCGCACTTCTGCCTACCTGTATGCCCAACCTTGAATGCAGAAACATCCTTGGCACTTCCCCCTGCCTCCCTTGATCATCTAACAAATGACTCTATCCCTTTCTCCTGAAGTCTTATCCCACTCCTTCTATATTGTTCCAAGGACTGTTCAGTTCCTAATCAATTCCATCATAGATTTTTGCTAATAATCTTACCCATTTTTTTACCTCCAGTTCTCATCCTTATCCCTGCCTCCAAGGTTGTCTTTACTTCTACAATAGAATGAAATTTGAAATACAAGATAAAAGTCCCTTCACCATCTAGGTCCAACTAGTTGCATTCATTCAACAGGAGTGCCTATATACTGAGTGACAACCTCTGGGCTCAAATCAATTGCATTGCTGTAGAAGTCATCTCCTTTCATAACTAAAAAAAGTCAACAAACTACTTTTCACAGCTGCAGTGGCTCCCCCAGATGATCTTCTGGATAAAATCCTTTTTCAGATTCAACTCAAATGTCTTCTATTTCAGGATGTTCTCTTTCAACAACTTGGAAAGAACGCGTTGTTGGGCTCACTGCTCCCACAGTACTTTTCAGAGAGTTACTGTTATCAGGCTGAATTGAAATGAACTTTCCATGTCCCTACACACAGGTATTTACTGCATCTTTAAGGATAGAAAAGTTTTTCTGCTCAGAACACAGACGGTGTTGGTAATTTATCAACGCCCCCTGAAAAGAGGGATGTTCCTCACCTTTAATAGATAGGGATCCAGAACAAGTCTAGTAACTCTCACTTTAGCAGTTTTTTGCATTGCTGTCCCAATCACCTTCCCTACTATCCACTTGGCATGGACCGATGAACGAACTATTGACATTATGTGGCTTTGGTCACCTGAAAAACAAATTTCAGAGTTTAATATTCTGGTAGCTATGACTCACCAAGTGCATTTTGTCACTAAAACTACTATGTCCTGAGAAAGCTTTCCTTGACCTTCTGGAGGATGCTTACACCTTTGCAATTTCCTTAAACACCCGACCTCCTATCTCTGTCTGTACCTTTTACAAAGCTGTACCTTTAACTTCCTTCCCCCAGGTCCTCTTCTGCAAGACGGTAATTATCACTGGGTTTACTCACAGGGGTTTAACCTATAAAGCGCTCAACAGCGCGATTATTTGCTGCCTTTTACCCTCAAAGGCTCACGGCCCGGCCGGGCGGGGAGAACTGGGGCCCTCCCCCGACAAGGAGACCTGGACTTGGCTTTGCTGCAGATCAGAGCGCCGAGTCCCTCTGGGGCAGGGTGGGGGTGATTCACCCCTCCTCCCGGACAACCCCCAGGTCAGCCGACTCTCCTCGCCCCGGGAGAGTTATCACAAGGCAGCGCCAGGGCACCCAACACCTACCCACGCCGGCGGCTCTGCGGCCCCGCACTCCCCTGCGGCTCCACAATTGCGCGGCGCAGCCCGTGGAGCGACGGGCGAGGCGTGATGACGTCACCCGCACGCAGGCTGCTCCGCCCCGACCGCCCCTCTCATTGGCCACCGGCACCAGGTTGAGGGCAGGGCTTTGCTCGTTCCCCTTCTACAGGGCCGCGGCGGGTGGGTCTCCTGGACGCCTTGACCTAGACCTCTGCTGCTTCCACCTTCCCTTCCGCCGCTGGCCGAGCGGGTTCACAGGCTTTCCTTCAATTCCATTTGGTCTCCTCGTCTTCCGTTGAGCTCTCAGACTCTGCTCGGGGCATTGCAAATCAGAGGAACTTCTTTCATCAAGCATGGAGATAGACGGCTAGATGCTGAGGCTGAAACACTTAAGCATATCCCAGCCTCTTTTTAAGAGAAACTTCTGTAGACTTTTATGTCCAGTATCTTTTTAGGTATGTCTCGGGACCTGTGAGATGGAGAGAAGTAGGTTGGTTAGATGGGCCATGAGCTGGCTACTTGGTGATGTCTTTTCTGAAAGATAAGACTGGGAATGTGTTAGGCTCTGATTTGGAAATCACTAACGGGGCCCAAAAACAAAAAGCTATTTGGCACAGACAATTTGAGGGTCAAAATATGGGTAGTCAAAATTGAGCACTGAAGCATCTTAGCAACTTGTGAAAGAAGGTTGGGGAAAAAAAGCTATTCATACATTAATAGCAAACATTTATGGAGCACTTAGCAAACATTTATGGAACACTTATTCCCAGACTGTGCAAGGCATTGGAGGCAGAAGAATAAATCAAAGCGGGCCCCCCCTCAAAAGGCCCTGTCAGTAATGTTATAGAGCAGCCCCGATATTGAACGGGTTCCTGGCTGTGGGTCCTCACCCGCGCGCTTAAAAGGGACTTATTAATACTCCACTACAGGCACACACAAAAGGTTAATAAAAGGTTTATTTACAAGGGAAAAGGAAATAAGGAAAATGTACAACTCAGGGAGAAAATAGGGAAATAAAGTCTTTAATGTGTCCTACCCGATCCGACGACCTGGAAACCCAAAGTCACTCTCAGAGCTGGCCAGACGCTGCTAGCTGGTGGAGAGCCAAAATGGGGGACCCCCCAAAGCCCATGTGTCTGCCTTTTATATCAACCTGGTTTCTTAAGCCCACCCTCAGGTCCCAGCTACCTTCCCTTTGGTGGTGATGGGATTTGGAGTTTCCAGTGGCTTTGGCTTTGGCCTGGGGTGGGGGTGGAGTCCAAAAAGCCTGTATGGAATTAGCTTTAGGACATCCTTTTCCCCCTAACAATTGGGATAGGTGAGGACGGAAAGAATTATAAAATAAGGCACGGGTAATGGCAGCCAGGCATGCCTAATGAGCCTGAGAATGGAAATTTGGTCAATACATGGTCCCTGGCCAGGAGCCATAACTTGGGAGGGGGACATGCGATGTGGGGACAGCTTTTGAGGTAGAAAGAGAGCATATACAGAGGTTGTGGGGTGTAAAGGTTAAGTAGTATAAGAGTCTGGTATGACCAGAATATATGATAAGAGGAAGAGTGGCAGGGTGAAGCTGGATACCCAGGAGGCATTTCTCACTAAGGACCTGTATTTCCTAAAGGGGAAGAGGGGGCACATCATTTCTCTAGTTTTCAAGATAATTTTGCTAGTTTTCAAAATCATTGTGCTAGAAGTATGAAAAACAGAATAGAGATGGGAGAGATTTAGAGTCTGGGTGCTTTGTCAGGGATTGGTAAAGACCTAAACTGGAGCAGAGACAATAAAAAGAGAAAGTGGATTGTGAAGTGACTGGGAAATTGACCAGTTGTGTGAGGCAAGGAGACAGAGAGGAAGTAAATGTGTACATATGCACATATAGATAATAACATAATTAGTTTTATTACTCTGCTTCTCAGGTTGATTGGCTTAAACAACAACAAAAACATTTTCTTACAGTTCTGTGGCCAGAAGGTAAAGGTGCCTTAAGGACTGTTTCTGGTAAGGACTCTTTTCTTGACTTGCAGCCAATGGCCGCCACCTTGCTGTGTCTTCAAATCATGCCTTTTCCTGTAGGGAAGGGGCAGGAAGGGAAGGGGAGGGAAGTTACAGGAGACTAACAAGAGAAAAGACAGGTTTATACATGCATGTAGTATATAGATGAATAGATTCACTGAACAACTAGAGGTAGGGATTTATATGCCAACAATGAGGGAAGGGGAGGAGGAAGGACTCCTATGGGAAAAAAATTAAGACTTTTAGGAAAGATAAATGGGCTTTTGTGCAAAATGGAAAGTTATAAACAGTTTGTGATAATGTTTATCTATGATTTGCTTCTTGGCTACAATCACCATAAGCGCAGACCCAGCATCTAAACCCTCGGGGACTTTTGGCAAGAGGTAGAACATGTGAGATCCCAGCAGAAGAAAGGTCCTTGGGATTTAAAAGTAGAATTTTTTTTTTAAAGATTTATTTATTTATGTATACAAGAGCAGGGGTACAGGCCAGAATTTGACTTGGTGATTTGTTAATATATAGTATCTCAGAACAGTTTGTTGAGCATGGACAGCAGCTCCCTCTAGCTTCATCCCTGTGATTTTTTGCACAAAAATCCCACTCTAGAGACAACATTTACTTATCCTGCAGTGGGAGGAATCAGCCTAAGTAAATGTCACTTAGGACAGTTACATTAGGACACCTAGGATGCTCAGTGCAACACTGTTGAAATAGAAACAGAAGGGAGTCATATCAAGGTTCCACTCAATGAAGGCCTGAATTGTCTTGGTAACTGGTCTTTCTTCTGGAATGTTATACAGACATAACATATAGTAGATCAGATAGTTTTACCTTCTGATATTCATATTTGACAACAGATGCTGCTTTGCCTCCTAGTACTTACCCTTAGGCATTTTCTCCTGTGCATACTTCTTTAAATAATTTAGATGACACCATTTCATCTTGTCTTGAACATCTTCCCAGAGTATCAGATCTTCTATGTAATTTTTTCATGAATTCATCCTTTATAATATATGACTGAAACATTACTTTTTAAAAGTGACTTTCAAATGAGTTCTGTAGACATTTTGGAGCAATTTTAGGTTCACGGAAAAACTGAGCATAAAGTACAGTTTCCATATACCCCTCATCCAAGTTCTCCCCATCCTGTCCTTTTACTTTAACATCTTGATTTAGTGTGGTACATTTATTACAATTGATAAGCCAATATAGATACATTATTACCAACTATAGTTTATATTGGGCTTCACTCTTGGTGGTGTCCATTCTTTAAATATGAAGTCAGTGTTTAAAAGAATGGGGATCTCTACTTCTAGTTCTTACATTTTATTAAGGGTACATCTATGATAAGTAGAGGAACATTGGTTGCTTAAAGAATGTCATCTGGTTTCTTTAATTAATAAGTTGAACATTAATCAAAACACAAATTGTAATGTTTTTCTCCAAACCCACACCCTTTAGATAAAAGAATCCATCAACATGATCCTTTAATACTCTGTTTCTGAGAAAAGGAGTCACACAAATTTTGGTGTTGATAGCAATCTTTCATTTTATTAATGTTGATACATTTACCAAATGTTTTCAGAGTGTTATAAAAGACTGTTCCAGGCACTGTTTGTATCTACTGGATTAGGAATAAGATGATGTTCTTAGTGACATTTCAGTCTGAATAACCCTGAATAATAAATTATTTATTACCGTGTCTAAGGTTAAGTATCTCTTCCATAAAAGAAGGGCTGTAACACCTGATTGGATGGTGTTATTTAGATGAACCAGATAAACTGATGTGAAAGGGTAATGCTTTGCCTTCTGAGACAGAAATAAATGGTACCACAGATTTTTGAATGAGTACAATTCCCTTGGTTCCCATACTTGGAGCACCAGTATTTCAACGTAACTAAAATATCTAGGGTTCACTCCTTAACTTGGAACATTTAAAGAGACAAAGGCTCACATGAGAATAAATTCATATCAGAATGGCATAGTTTACTGTACAGTGAATATAAGCATAATCATTTTTGACTCTAAGAAATGTATAATATGCTTTCTAGTTTGAAAATTCTATATATGAGGAATTGGTGAAAATCCTTAGCCAACGATGGTCTGGTTCAGTCCAGATACCTCTTTTCTGGGATTGCCCAACTTCTGCTGATCCTCTTGTGAAAATCCCATATTCTTTTTTACTTGAGCTGCAATATATTGTTTTATATTGGAGCACTTAGTCCTCTTTGTGGTATATTGAGGTTTTTATTTTAATCCTCGCTGCAAATTAAACTCTCATCAAAGCCTTTATCAACAGCTGATCATGACTTCTTTTATGACACAACTCTGCTGTTGAGATTTCACCTTAGCTCACTCTTTGTTTCTGAAATCTGAGTGCCCTATACTCATTATGGCAAATGAATATTAAATACAGCTCCTTTAGGTAAAGAGATACTTCCAGAAATGAACTGCCCTTCAAAATGATCTCTACTACACAGATATTTGAACATAAAATATTATTAGAAATCCCCCCTGATTTTTAGTAACTCAGGGTTTTATGAACTAGTTTACATCCATTCTTGCATGAAAGATAAATGCACTTTGAAAAGTGTAACTGTGATGAAATTAATTTTATCAGTTTACTTTCTTGGTTTTTATTTAGTGTTTGAATTTGTAGAAGTCTTTAAATCATTTCAGCTTTCACTCAGACATATAGAATCTATCCCTTTCATAGGAAAAAATTCTTGAGAAGGCAGCTATGTTAGAAAAAAACATAAGAAAACAGGAGAACAGTGTTCCTGCTTTAGCCTCATGGCTCCTTCAGCTATGCCTGGGAAGACTGAGAGAAAAATGGAAAGCCAAGAAACCGAAGCAGCCCCATAATTGCTGCTATTTATGGCTTAGGACAATTTACATTTATAAAGCTTTGTGATATCAAAGTATGACTTCTATAAAACAAGGCAATGATTATAAAAATCTAATTAAACCACCTTAAATTCTTTCTAGAAAAAAGTAATATACATATATTTTAATAAATAAAATGAATTAAGTCAATTAGTGATGCTTTTATAGTTGTTTATATCAGTCAATAATGGTCTTCCCTGGTTCTTGGCCTCAACAGGGTACCACAGCTCACCCTCTGCTACAGTCTCCAGGGGTGTAGAGTGACATATGGATTATTAGCCTGTCATCAGTATGAAAACAAAACTCCTCTCTGCAAATATAGCAGAAACAACAATTTCAATTAAAAAAAATCTATGTTTGCTATAGGTAAATTAAAAATTAGAGCAATAAAGAAAAGTGGGTTAGTCTGAATCAGTCTTTTATAGTTGAGCAGTAAGACCCTCACTCTTGTCTGAGACGCTTCTTAAAGTGATCCTAGGACTCGAACAACAAAAGTAATGCAGAATTGCTAAAAGAATAGAAATATATTATTATTGTCAATATGCTATAAAATTGTTTCTCAAATAGTAGTACACAAGATTTTAGGTAGTACACCAATATACACAATATTTTAAATTTCAAAGTTATATATTTAATTTGATGGGAAGTAGCAAATATAATTAGCATATAAAACTCATAATTTCAATAATATTTCCTAGGACAAGGCTAAAAAGTCTGAGTTGACTTAAAGAAAAAAGTTAGGTAAATACTAGGTATGATAAAAACTGCAAAGGAAGCACACAAATGACTGAATTTTGAGAAATATTGCTCTCTTCTGGCTATTTCAATTCTATGTGACAGGTTATATTATACTATTGCCTTGATATATAATTTTAAAACTTTGCACCATAAAAACTTACAGGCAAATCATTATAGATTATTGCCTACTGGATTTCTGGTCATTAAAAAAAGTTTCATGTAAGATTTAGAACCTGACTCCAATATAATAGTGCTTATAAAATAAATTATTTTTACTATTTGTAACCACTCCTGGGAAGAGAATATGCTACTAGCTTAAGGTCTAAATTTATTTGGTTGCTATTCGGTCAAAGTTTATAATCTTTCTCTCTGTTTGATTAATTTATTATTGAATGGTATGAAAAAGTCTGACCAGAAATTTCCTACATTTATAAATTCATATGATTTCCCCCCTATGAGCTATGTGCTGCTGAGTAAGTGAAGGATTGTGGCTTAAAGTTTTTCCACATTTATTATATTCACATAATTTCTCCCGAACATGTATTTTTCTATGTTGATTAAGGTGTGCACTCTGGCTAAAGGCTTTCTCACATTCATTACACTTATAAGGTTTTTCTCCTGTATGAGTTCTCTCATGCTGATTAAGATGTGTCCTCTGACTGAAGGCCTTCCCACAAAAACTACATTCATAAGGTTTCTCTCCAGTATGAAGTCTATGATGTTCAGTAAGTGATGTGATACGGCTAAAGGCTTTACCACATTGATTACATTTATACGGTTTCTCTCCAGTATGAATTCTCAAGTGTTGAGTAAAGGATGAATGCTGACGGAAGGCTTTCCCACATTCATTGCATGTAAAAGGTTTTTCTCCTGTGTGGATTCTCTGATGTTGAATGAGATGTATCCTCTGGCTGAATCTTTTCCCACATTCGTCACACTTATAGGGCTTCTCTCCAGTAAGGACTATCTGAGATTGAGTAAGAGATGAATTGTGACTGAAGGCTTTCCCACATTCACTGGATTTCTCTCTAGCATGAATATGAGTAGTAAGAAGAATATGTTGATTGAAGATTCTTCCACACTCATTATATTCATAAGCGTTCTGTTTTACATAGTTTCCCTGATAGTAAATCATTTCTGAATTATGTTTGATGCTATTTCCTTGTGTATCAGAATTAAGGGGTAATTTAATTGAGGGAATTCTCTGATGCACAGTAAGGCTTGAGTTCAGATTACAGTTTTCCCCAAATCTATTACATTCAAGACTCCTTTCCTTTGTGATATTTTTGTGGGTGAAAGATCCTTGTCCTAAATGTCTCTGCTGGTTTTCTTGGTTAAACTCTAACTGGTAATCAAAGTCCCAGAGACCTCCTAAGATGGAATACCAGAAACTGTCTCCTGTTAGTCTCTCCATGATTCTGTCATGGGTTTGATTTTCATTAGAAATGTCCTGGTCTGGAGTTGATTTTTTGATTTCGGGTCTATTCTCCCCATCTAAAAGAAATTCAGAACATACAAATTCTTTCTTGTATTCACTGTGTTTTAAAAGTGAAATTGTTGCATAATGAATTAACAAATGAAACTAACAGTAATGCAGACTAGGCATATGTGGCATTGGAAATGTTAAAATATGGCCATATAAACAGTTCAAAACCTATGAAAGGATGACAAGCAGTGAGCGGAGGAAAAACCTTAAAATGTGTGTGATAATCATAAAAAGAACAGATCACCCAGGTGTATCTATGGTATACAAAAGGAGAACAAGGAATGGGGAAAAGCCTGTGTTCAAAAAGTAGGAGATATTAGAAGAAAGACCATACTTAGAGAAGAATGGGATGAATTCAGGTTCTTATAAACCTGAATTTGTAGTTCTCATTTGTAGTTCATTTGTAGTTCATTCTGTTGTAATGTTAATGATTGGCTGGACTGCTGAAGACAGTCTTTCATATTCTCTTTGCACCAAATCCATAGCCTGAGGACCAGGCTCCTAGAGCCACAGGTAAGTATGGTACTCTAGGCCATACTGGCTAGGAGTAGAGTTTAAGACATTCATTCCCTCATGTCTAGCTTCCAGAACTTTTGTATATACCTGGAAACATGGCAGCCTGATCAGCATGCTCATGGTCACTTTCGTTGATTTCCTTCTTTCTCTGTCTTCCTTCTATAAGGTAAAAGGGAAAACTGCTGCTGGTTGATAGACTTGCCATCTACTTAGATTAGGAGTAGTGATTTTACATGGACTACACAGGCACTGCTCCTCCTCTGTGGATACCCTCAAGGCATTGAACATTAAGGCATCACATCTTTAATCATCTATCTACATCCCAGTGGGCTACCACAGGACACAGTCCAGAACTCCAGATTGAGAAAACAATTATCTTGGCTTCAGAGCAGTTTTTTTTTTTAGATTTTTATTTATACAAGAACTGAGGTACAGGCCAGATGTGTGGGAGGGTGAGAGGATTCACCAGAGACAGAGTGGGGAAGAGAACAGGCAGACGGACCAAATACACTGTTAATCGATCCGGCACTGCAGAGGCTGTGGACAGCTTTACAGCGTGGTGCTCAACCCTCTGCACCACCAGGGAGGCCTCCTTCAGAGCAGTTTTGAATAACAAACTCTAGTCTACTCACTGCTTCCTCCTCCTCACCTAACTTAAGCACCCATGTTAGTGACATGCCTGTAATGGCCCTTAAAAGGAGGGGGGCACTTAATGAGCACAGACATCCTTATGAAGCCATGTATATGGGGACACAGAGTAGCAGTTTTCTTTCATTATCCACTCTTCTATCAACTTTCTTCTGGTTTGGCCTTACTCAGCTAGATACCCAATCATTCATGAAAACCCCCAAGTCCTACTTTGTACTTCTGCCTAATTACCTTATCAGACTTTATGCTGCCTATCCCTTTGTTGTCCGAGAGTATAGACAAAAGTGATACTTGGGAATAAAGGAGAAAAACTTACCCTGCTTACAGTGAGAGAATGACATGCAATCTATTTTGCCCAAGTCCTATGCTAAGTGAGTATAGTATCTCTGCCGCAGTTACAGATTAAGGCTCTATAACTTATGGCAGGGGCTCATCTGGCTTCCATCATTCTCACAAGGGTTTAAGGACTCTTCATAATGAAAACTGGGGAATTTGCAGAAATTACTATAGTCTCAATATGGTTACTATCTATCCACTGATTTCATATTCCCTGGATCAACTACAGCACAGGGCTATAGGCCTTTAATAAAATTAGATATCGAGGGCACCTATCATCTCTTTTGTACCTAAGAAGGGAACATTTCTAGACAAGTCTTTGGTCAGTATTAGTATATTGTGATGCCACTGGGAAACTTAAAACATCTTGCAGGGCTTTCTGCAACACTACACATTTCATAACACAAAAATAATGTCTGCTTAATCAGAAAAAAAAGAGGGCCATTTTCACTTTTAATAAAAGTCAAATACGAATTGAATTTTAAGAAAGGTCTCAGTATTCTTTAAATCCCAAAGGAGATATTTGGAGCACATTCAATTGAGCATATTGTGTGATTATGTCCCTTAACTGAGTAGCAAATCCCCAAATGTTTGCTTCTCACCTGGATGAGTGTCCAGTGAGCCGCCCCTTTTCATCATCCACTGCTCCTCTTGCTCCAACTGAGTGATCACCTCTGGCTTATAAAGTTGATGCCCTATTCATGGGAAAAATATACGCCTAAGGAATTTATACTGGGAACACAAATTTTTCTCAGAATTCATTTCCAAGCTTTTTAATCTTTAGGGTCCCTGGTTTTAGAAAGGAGTGGTTTCCAAAATAAAGCTACCCTTATCAAACTCAGCAAAATCAAGGCCTTCTATCTGAGGAGAAAGAACAAGAAAGAAGGTCTCTAACTCCAAAACCAATGATCAGTTTTCTGTCATGGCCTGAACTATGTATTCACAAAGAACTTTGGAGGTTTTCACTACTTAAGGAAATAAACCCATTAGAACGATCAGTTTCACAGCTGTCTCTTACCCAGGGCAACCAAATTCCTGTAGTTCTCCAGCATCACATCTCGGTAGAGGTTCTTCTGAGCAGGGTACAGCTGGTCCCACTCTTCCCTGGTGAAGTCCACAGACACATCCTGGAATGTCAGTGATTCCTGAAACATCAAGAACAACCCTGCTCAGCCAGAAACCATTTTTACAGAGGCCTGCGGGGACAGGTCAAAGCACAGCAATAGACAAAGGTTAGGACGTCTAAGCCATTGTGCTGAGAGTCTTCAGGTCTGAGTAATTTGGGTCAAGAATTTTTAAACAGCAATTAGTACCCATCTTTCTCTCATTTTTCAAGACATTGATTCTTGTGTAGATCCTTAACAGAATTTTAAGCTTTGTAAAGAGGAGGAGAGAGGACATTTTGGTGCGTTATTTAAAAAGGGAAAAGAAACAAGGGTGGAGAGGGCCTCCCTGGTGGCGCAAGGGGTTGAGCACAGTACTATGAAGCTATCCACAGACTCTGCAACACGAGTTCGATCCCCAGCCGGCTAGGGAGCTACCCACATGGCGCAGCAGACCTCTCCTGTCTCTCCTACTGCTCCCTTCAGCAGTGTATTTCAGTCAGTCTGCCTGTTCTGTTCCCCACTCTGTCTCTGGTGATCTCTGGATTTTGATACTTCTGAGTACTTTGAAAATTGAAAAATCTCTGGCGCAGTGTTGAGCGCTTTGCGAATGCCCGCAGCCTGTTGCATGTGCCTCTATTTGAAAATTGAAAAATAAAAGTGTGCACATTCTGAGAACTACAATAAAATTTCAGAGGAGAATAATCCTGAACTTACCTGGGACTTTAATATCTGTGATTCATCATTCATTTCTTTCACTTTCATGTTCCCCTCCTGGGAAAGTATAGCATTCTGAGAAGGCATAACTGGGAAAAAGAGAATAGAAGTACTTTGTCATTACATAATATGAAGGTTAAAACTAAAGAGTTTTTTCTTTGTGCTGGAATGGCAGTCAATATAGAGAAGCCCTCTAAGATGTAGCTTAAAGACTTAACTGAGGCATTCTTATTCCTCTATTACATTGAGGAATTCAGTGCAATACTTTCTTTCCTCTGTGGTATAGCTCCACTTGTGGCATATGGGAAGCTCAGGAGAACTCAGTGGTTTTTACCTTTAGCTCTACACATGGGAAATTTAAATATATTCCCAGAGATTTGGATTTAATTGATCGGGTAGGCCTGGGCAATAGTATTTTAACTTCTAAAGTCTCCAACTGATTCTAAGTTGGGGATGAGAACTACTGAGACATGATACAGAGATGATATGTTGAGGGCCTGTTCTTAATCTTTAAGGGGATTAATTCACCACTATACCCAAACTCCAGATCGCTCTACTTTCTCTAAGGTGATCTGACAAACAGATGAGATGTCACTCTTTTTTTTTTGTTTTGTTTTGTTTTGTTTGTTTGTTTTTTGTTTATACATGCACTGGGTACAGTCAGAAGCGCGGGAGGGTGAGAGGATTCACCAGAGCCAGAGCAGGGAGCAGAGCAGGCAGAAGGACCGAAGTACACTGCTGAGGGGAGCAGTGGGCGGCAGGAGAGGTCTGCGCGCCATGTGGGACCCTCCTCTGGTGGCCGGGGAGCAGCCAGGGATCGAACTGGCGCCGCAGAGGCCGCGGGCAGCATCTCAACCCAGCGCTCAACCGCTGCGCCACCGGGGAGGCCCCGAGATGTCACTCTTTTAGAATGTCCACTGTACTTTTTGAGTACCTGGATTCAGTCCTCCCCCAGGATTACTACACCTTGAGTTGTGAGCAGTTCTTGAGTTGTGAGGTCACCAAAGCTTTGTTCTCTTCTAACACAGGTCAGGAGATGCAGCACTAACAGCTTCAGTATCCTTGTCAGTCCTGAAAGCTGATTTATTGTATAGCCACTCCCAGGTATTAAAGGTGCCTCATCTCTAACAAGAACCTCAGGAGCTTGATATCCACAAGAAAGACTTCTGTTTCCCAGGGGTAGCCACTCTCAGAATCTTGCCTTGTTCATGCAGAGTTGAGACATGGGGGCTCATGAAGGAAGCTATTACTTTTTTCCCCTTCTCTAAAGGTATTGATGCTTCCTATACAGACTTCACTATGATATTCAAATTTGTCTCTTGGCAAAGAGGGATCCTCGAAGATGTAATTTCAGACTGAGCACCTGTAAGGAGATGTACCAGTCAGTAGAAGAAACTCAGCAGTCTTGGTCACCTAGGGACCTACAGAGTCTGTAAAGAGACTTACAAACTGTTCATTCATAAAGATAGAATGCAGTAGAATGTGGAACTCTTTAAACAATAAAAAACATTTTTTAGAATTTCTCAGTTTCACAAATTACAAAAAAGCAGAGATCTATAGATCCATCAACTCCCAAGCTTTTCACAAGAATAGCATACTTGTGGTCCTTGCCAAGTAAAAGATTTTCAGAAAGAGTTTTTCTTTCCCTAAGAAAGAATTTTCTTTTCTTTTTTTTTTTTTGAGATTTATTTATTTATTTATACAAGCACTGGGTACAGTCAGAAGCGCGGGAGGGTGAGAGAATTGACCAGAGCCAGAGCAGGGAGCAGAACAGGCAGACGGACAAAGTACACTGCTGAGGGGAGCAGGGGGCGGCAGAAGAGGTCTGCGCACCACGTGGGACCCTTGCCAGGGGCCGGGGATCGAACTGGCGCTGCAGAGGCTGTGGGCAGCTTCCCAACCCAGTGCTCAATCACTGCGCCACCGGGGAGGCCCAGAAAGAATTTTCTACCGGAAAATCAGGTGCACCAATACCAGAGTGAAATGTCAGTTTTCTAGTAACCATTAAATAATATTTTTTTTCTGTTCACAAAGGTTCACCTAAAAAAATTCTCCCAAAAGTTAGTGATAGAAATGAAGAATGATGTCATTTCTGAGAAGCTTTTTTTTTTTTTTTTTTAAAGAGAGAAAACTGTAGTTCTAGTGGAATGGCTCTATTAAATAAGGAAGGCACTCACTGCCCAAAGACATGGCATGAATCTAACATTTTTACAACCAGTTCACTAAGAGGTAGCTCTTTCAGGAGTAATTTAAATGTACTTTAAGGCTAGGTCCTTATTTCACCAAGCGAAAGATCTAAAAAGGTCGTAAGGTCTAAAGACTCAAGACAGAATCTGTGAGAATGCTCTGAGGTTTCAAACCTAAACACCTCAAAACCATCTATTCACAACAAAACCTGCATTTACCAAATTAGGTAGAACAAGGTTTCTCCTTTTATATATGTGAACTGAAACAGACCCTAGATATCACTTGAGGTTTTCCTAAAGCGTGTTAAATAGTCTCTTGCTCTCAAGAAGAGATCAAGTATGGAAAATGATGGCTTCAACAAAGTTAAGTTTCTTTGCTATAAAACTTCTCAGAGACTATTATGTGATAATGTACATAGGGAATCCTAGAAAAACCCCAAGGGGATGACGAGTAACTGTTATAGAAAGATTAAATCCAGGAATTAAATATCAATAATTCAAATTGCTAAAATTTCACATTTCTCCAATAATATTTTTTCTCTAATCCAGGATCCCATATTGCGTTTAGGTGTTAATTTTCCTTATCTTCTTCAATTTGTAACAGTTCCTCGAGCTTTCTATCATGAGCTTAATAACTTTTGTTGTTGTTGAATAATCCAATCCTATGAATAATTGTGTGCAAACTGAACAATGGAGAATGATGTAACAGTTGCAAAATTTGTTCTGAAATTCTAATACAATGTGCAGTCAGACAAAATGTTATCCTACCTTTTGAAACAGTTGAAAACATTAACTGTGATTTTAAAATAAGAGTTTACACAATTTAAACCAATAAATCTTAAAGAACTTGATCTGGCAAGAATAGTTATAAAAAGGTAAGACACATACCTAACCTGTAAGGCTTATATTCTTACATATTATTCTTCTCTGGAAAAAAAAAAAATATTGGATTGCAACCTATCTCAGTATACTTTTCTAAAGTATTTAATCCCCAAGTCTTTGAGAAGCAAAATTAATGCAACACATGTCAGAACATTAACAAAATTAATAAATCAAAACAACGTTCATAAATTACTCCATTTATCATAGGTAGGCAATGTTCCAACTTGCAGAACTACTGTCTTTCAACTCTTTCAGGCTTCTGATGGCAGACTTTACCGTGGCTGCAGAAGTGGTGCTGTCGGTCCAGGCACCCCCAGCTAGCATTTGCATGTAGGAACCACAGTGCCAGATCCCCAAAGCTCACCTCTTCATTTTGGTTGTGCCAAAGAGCCAGTGTACTTGGCGTGTTGGCTGACTTCAGTTTTGTTCACCATTTTCCTGAGAGTGGTACTATAATGGGACCTGTACTTACCAACAATCCTACCCTTGTTTGGCCATGTCACCATCAACCAGGTGAGTGCCCAGAAAGTGAATTTGATAACTTATGAAGAAAACTGCTAAGTTGTTTTATAGAATGTCCCTCAACTTGGAATTGTCTGATGTTTTTTCATGATTGGAATGAAGTATTTTTGGCAATGCTTAAGATTGGCAGATGTAAGATACCACAGAAGTAATCATGTATCTTTACTTCATCCTATTAATGGGTGTATATTTTCAACATGTCTTGCTAATAGTAATGTTAGATTTTATCACTTGTTAAAGTGGTATTTACTAGGTTTCTCCCTAGTTATTATCTTTCCCTGTGTAGTCTGGGGAGATACTAAGACTATGAAAATATCCTGATTCTCTCAAATCCACTAGTTTTAGCATCCAGCAGTATATGTTGCCTGCAAAAAATCATTAACATGGGGCCTCCTTGGTGGAGCAAGGGGTTAAGTCTTAATGCCATCAAGCTATCACCAGCCATTGAGATCTGAGTTCAATCCCCCAGCCAGGGAGCTGACCTAAAAGGTGCAGCAGACCTCTCCTGTCTCACCTGCTGCTCCCCTCAGTGGTGTATTTCAATAGAGCTGCCTGTTCTGCCCGCCACTCTGTCTCTGATAAGTCCTCTCACCCCGCACCTCTGGCCTGCACCCCAGTTCTTATATGCATAAATAAATAAAATAAATCTTTAAAAAAAAACCATTAATATGGCGTTTGCCCAGTGGTGATTTTCCTTTTGCCCGTTAGAGGAACAATCCACCCCCTGACATTTTTACAGATTTCACCCCCATCCCCACAAGAAAGAGACTGCAGGCTCTGAGAATTACAATTTCCAGCATGCCATGAACCTGACTTTCTAAATGGGGAGCTGACAGGATCTATGGGCAGAGTTCAGTGGCCATGCTTGGCTTATAACTGAACACCTGTGTGCAGGGACTGTCTACCTTTTCTGGCTTTGACTTGCATCCTGCTAGGAGAAGTGACACATGGGAGGAGAAACGTGGAAGAGAGACATGTAGAGACACTTGGAAGATGGGTGGGTGAAACACACAGAAGGAGGATGCTCCTGTCCTTGGCAGAGACAATGGCAGCTGTTATCCTGACTTCATGGCGGATTATGTGTGACATTTTGAATTTTGAGTTTCTCCTTCAGTCCCAGCTCTCTGGGATTTGCCAAAACCCTTTCTTGCGATTCTCTATCAGAAGGTACATTAGATTTGTGGCAAGCTTTTGGGTTTTAGCCACCCCACTTCAGGTGCAGCCGGTTTGGTTGGGCATTTTCCCATTAGGGGATAATTTTTTGAGCTTTACTGGGAATCTGTTATTTCATTTGTGATGCCCGTTTCCTGTACATTTATTAATCTATATACCATAACCACCTGAATACTTATAAAGCTCATTATACTATGTGCTGTTTTTCAACATTCTTTTTTTTTTTAAGATTTATTTATTTATTTATACAAGCACTGGGTACAGTCAGAAGTGCGGGAGGGTGAGAGAATTCACCAGAGCCAGAGTGGGAAGCAGAGCAGGCAGAAGGACCGAAGTATACTGCTGAGGGGAGCAGCGGGTGGCAGGAGAGGTCTGCGCGCCATGTGGGACCCTCCTCAGGTGGCCAGGGAGCGGCCGGGGATCGAACCGGAGCTGCAGAGGCTGCGGGCAGCTTCGCAACCCAGCGCTCAACTGCTGCGCCACTGGGGAGGCCCATGTTTTTCAACATTCTTTATTCAGTTTTCCCTGTTTGTTTATTTCATACTTACTAATTTTATTTTATAGCAGCATGGTTTCCACTGTATACGCTTATCACCACAATACACTGAACTACGTCCTAAGTGAACATGTAAGCTCTATAAAACTACAAACAATTCTGCAATAAACATCTTTGCATGTAAATCTTTGTGTACATGTGTAAGTATTTCTGCAGGACAGATCCTAAAGTGAAATTTCTGAACCAGAGTGAGCTCACTGAACATTTTGGTATGTACAGTTGGACGGTCATTCAAAAATGGTACCTTTCTCCCCTGCATTTTCCTGAACACTTGATAGCATCAATTTTTAAAAAATTTTGCCCGTCTAATCAGTGAGAAATATATCTTCCTCTACATTCTGTGGTTATTTAAAAGGCTAGGCATTTTCTGTTGTTGTTGTTGACCTTTCGTATTTTTTCTACAAATTGCCAGTGCATATTCTCTGTCTGTTTTACCTTTTTTGTTATTAGCCACGGTTCTTTACATATTATGGACACTAAACCCTTTGTCTCTTACACATGTTGCAAATCTTTTCTTTATGTCTCGCACTTATTTTTTTTTTTTTTTAAAGATTTATTTATTTATGCAAGCACTGGGTACATCAGAAGCGCGGGAGGTGAGAGAATTCACCAGAGTGAGAGCTGGGAGCAGAACAGGCAGAAGGACCGAAGTACACTGCTGAGGGGAGCAGCGGGCGGCAGGAGAGGTCTGCGCGCCATGTGGGACCCTCCTTCAGTGGCCGGGGAGCTGCCGGGGATCGAACCGGCGCTGTAGAGGCTTCAGGCAGCTTCGCAACCCAGCGCTCAACCGCTGCGCCACCGAGGAGGCCCTATGTCTCGCACTTATTTTTAACCTTTTTTTCTTTTAAAATGTCTAAATTTTTTATAGCCTCAAACTAATTAAATTTTCCCAGAGAGTTTTGTGCCCTGTTTGAGTAGTTTGGCACAGCTACAGTGTTAAGCGCTTTGCCAACACCGCTAAGAAACGTTATTATCATGACAGCAACAAGGAAGCAAGCCAAAGTTTTCAACAAAAAGTGACTATCAAGAAAGATTACTCATTTAATATCTATCTACTGAGCACCAATTAAGTGTCATGATCAAATCTGTCTCTTAGAAAGTTCACTTTTGGATGTTTTACTTTGGTCACAATTTAAAATTAATTAAAATAAATGGATCATCCTATCAATGGGAGGTAAATAAGAGGGATTTACTCTGGATATGTTAAAATATTTTTTACGGGGGCCTTCCCGGTGGCGTAGCGGGTTGGGTGCAGCGCTGTGAGGCTGTCCGCAGCCTCTGCAGTGCGGGTTCAATTCCCAGCCGGCCAGATACCCACATGGCACGGCGAACCTCTCCTGTCATGCCCGCTGCTCCCCTCAGCAGTGCTTTCAGTCTGTCTGCCTGTTCTGCTCTCCCCCTGTCTCTGGTGAATCCTCTCGCCCTCCCGCCCCTCTGGACTGTACCCCAGCCATTGTATAAATTTTAAAAAATAAATCTTTAAAAAATATTTTTTGCACATTAACATACAATTAAATGGAAACAAAATGGAATCACAGGAACTGTCAAGAGTTGCAAGGGTCTAAAAACAGATTCGCGGCCCTCCCCTGGTGGTGCAGGTGGTTGGGCGCAGCACTGTGAGGCTGCCCACGGCCTCTGCAGCACAGGTTCGATCCCTGCGAGAATCCCACATGGCGTGGAGGACCTCTCCTGTCTAGCCCCTGCTCCCCTCAGCAGTGTATTTCAGTTAGACTGCCTGTTCTGCTCCCTGCTCTGTCTCTGGTGAATCCTCTCACCCTCCCGCACATATGGCCTGTACCCTGGTTCTTGTATGCATGAATAAATAAATCTTTTAAAAAATAACAAAATAACTATAATAAACAACTATATAAAAAAAAAAACAGATCTGCGTATAGACATACCTGCAGAATATGACAAAGAGTTACTTTCATTCAGTGGGAAAATGATTCCACAAATGGCCAAACAACTGGGAGGAAAGGGAAAGGCAAAGTCCCAGAGTCCCAGGGCAAGTGAGGGATAATTAGGCAGCTTCAGGGACAGTGCAGGCAGGGATTTAGGAGAGTTAAGGAAGGCGTCAGAGATAAGGGCAACAAATTCCAAAGGGAACTAATCAAACACCCCAGGACTAGGAGCAACAGGACATTTTGGAACAAGGATGATAAAGAAAAGTCTGCTAAGATAAGGGCTGGGACACAGAGACTTAGCTCTGGGCACAGAGACATTTAGGCAGTGAGTGAGACCACCGAGAACTGACCCATCAGAGAGAGCCTGGTGAGGCTTTGGCACAATCAGGGAAAGAAGGTCTATACTCCCTGGGTTCCACCGTGGCTTCCTTGCCCCTCCCTGGCCTGGTTCCACGGCCTGGGAGTCCCACATTATTTCTGTTCCTTTTCTCTCAATAAACTTTTTCTCTCTCTCAACAAATCTGCCTCTTTTTGCTTGCTTGCCTGAGCGTCTGCAAGCTCCTGCTGCGGCTTCGTGAGACACCAGCCCGTGGGGGTCCAGTGGCCGGGACTCAGCACAACCCTCCAGCCTGGAATCCATTCCTCCCCAGGAGACTAGACCTGAAAACCTGCAATTCCGGTATCACTAGCAACCCCCTTACCACCCGATGAAATACAGCTTAAGGGCCTCCCCTGGTGGCGCAGGCGGTTGAGCGCAGCGCAACCTCTGCAGCGCGTGTTCAATCCCCGCCGGCGAGATACCCACACGGCGCGGCAGACCTCTCCTGTCTCACCCGCTGCTCCCCTCAGCAGTGCCTTCGGTCCGTCTGCCTGTTCTGCTCCCCGCTCTGTCTCTAGTGTATCCTCTCACCCTCCCGCGCATCTGGCCTGTACCCCGGTTCTTGTAATAATAAATAAATCAATCTTTAAAAAAATACAGCTTAAAATGCCACAAAGCGGTATTAAATATATTTTAAACGCACTGGAGAGTAAACAAGAGCGTTTTTTAAACCTTGCGATAGGGAAACGCCCTTCCAAAAAAAAAGACACAAAAATACATATTTTCTTTTTCGAGGGGCAGATTACACGATATGGGGGGGGGTTGGGAAAGACGTTCATCATCTCAGAGAGAAGGTCGCACACCGGCCGCAGGTGTGGCCGGCGCTGGCTCGGCTCCCGCGAGGGGCGGCCCCGCCCGGGCACCCAGGGCCGCCGCCCCCCCCCCCCCCCCCCCGCCCGCGCCGCACTCACCAGCCCGCGCAGACAAAGGGCGGCCCCGCCCCCTGACGCCGCCGCCGCCGCCGCCCGCCGGGCCTGAGGCTGGGGCGCGAGCGGTGAGGGCCGCGGCGCCCGAGCCAATGACGCCCGCTGGCCGGGTCCCCGGGGCCGCACCGGCCGCCCGCGCCTGGGAGGCGCTGACTGAAGCCTCCCCGCAATGGCGACCGCGCCGCGCGGGCTTCGCTACGCATGCGCCAGCGGCCCCGGGCCCACCGCTTCCCTCACGCCGGACTCCCAACTCCCACCCGCACCCGGGGTGTGCTGCTCACCCGGGCGCGCCAAGCCGGGAGGCTGCGGCCGCACAGTGTCTTGCTCAGAGAGGGCCGAGGCGGGCGGCCTCCCAGGCAGAAGCGGTGGCCTCTGGGCCCGGGGCGGTGTCCGTGACGCCGTCCTCCACGGCGCCGCGGCCCTGCTGGCATCCCACCCCGTACCGTATTGATGGAATTCTGTGATCAGGACTGCATGGTTCTGCTGTTGTTACAGGTCTAACAAAGAGAATGGGATTCTTTTAAGGGGGATAACATTTTGCTTAATTATTCAAAGTTAAGTGTTCTCCATCACCAGTGTTGATTGCAGAGGGTCATCTGTTAATGCTAGTCTATAATGAAATCTTACATATTTCATCTTTGAAATTGTTTTCAAATAGGGAGGTACTACCAAAAACTGAGACGCACAAATATGCCACGGAGGAAAAAACAACTTAGGGTAAAATGAAATAATAGTGTTTATTTGCGGGGGGGTGGGGGGCCGGATAATCTTAGATTTGCAAATCAGGGAGCACAAACTCAGGCTTCAGCCCGCATTGGCATCCCCCGGGGTGATGCCAATGGGATTGTTTAAGGGATTTTTAAAGGAAAAAAAAAAGATGGTGGGGGTGGCAGGGAGAAAGAATTGCAAAAGCTAGGGTTACTAGATTACATTTCTTAGAGTTTGTTGGATTTTAGTCAAAATGATCTTGGTGGGGGGGGTGGGAATTATTTTTGTACAGTTCACAGTAAAGTTTGTTCTATGCAGAGAACCAGTTTCTGATAGCCAGCACATATTTTTCAGAGATAAAAAGTTCAGTAAGATGCTGTCTCAGGAAAGAGATGGAGTCAGCGTAATCAATCTGAATACCCTTTTCACATTTTCCCTTTTTGTGCATGATATTTTGTTAGAAAACGTCAATAGAACAACATTAGTCTCTGTGGCCAAAGTGGTAAAGTCCCCTGCTCTGGGCAAACAAGTGCAATCACCTTTGCAGAGAGTGGGAGATTTAAATTGAAGTTTAACTTGTTCTCGTGCATGGTCAACGACATGCTGGCCAGAACTGTCTTTAAACTGCACTCTCACCCAACTCCAGGTAGCACCTCAAAGAGATTCTTATATGGGTCATATCTATGAATGTTTACATTATTAAAAATAGAAAATTAAAATGTTATTTCAACAATAAAAAACTGATTACTTATTAATGTGAATATATGTAGATGTGAATATAAAATGTAGTTTTATGGACAATTTTATTAAGGAATTTAGTGAGAAGAATTATATTTTTTTCTAATCCCTTAGAAGTTCAACTTAAAAGTCAACTGGTGAAAGAAATTAAAGGAGACAGAGACACTGCCACTATTTATGAATTGGAAGACAATATTTTAAGATGTGAATACTATGCAATGTGATTTACAGATTCAATATAATCCCTATCAAAATCCCAACCATGTTGTTCCAGAAATAGAAAAATATTCCCTAAAATTCATGTGGAGTTTCAAAGAACCCTGAATAGCCAAACAATCTTGAATCTAAGGAAAAAGTTTTGATGTGGCATACTTCACATCAAAATTTAGCAAAGCTACAGTTATCAAAACAAATTTATTACTGGCATAAAGATAAATAGGCTACAGAGCCCATAAACAAACCCTCACGTGTATTTTCAAATGATTTTCAATTAGAGCATTTCAAATGTTTCCTAGAACAGTCAATGATGCAAGGACAGACTTAATAATAAATAGTTTTGGGAAAAATAGATATTCACAAGCAAATGAATGAAACTGGAAGCTAACCTTGTACAAAGATTAACTGAGAATGAATCAAAGACCTAACTGAGAGATGAAACTATAAAAATTTAAGAAGAAAACACAAGAGTAAACTCACAATACTGTTCTTGGCAACAGCTTCTTGATAACACCAAAAGCATAGGCAACAACAACAAACAATAGGTAAACTGAACTTATTTAACACTTTTGTACATCAAAGAACATTAATAGAGTGGAAAGACAATCCACAGAAGAGGGGGAAATATTTGTAGATCATGTATTTAATAATCACTATCCAGCATATATGAACTACAACTCAACAACAAATAAACAGATAACCAGATTTTAGAAATGGGCAAAGGATTTTAAATATTTCCTCAAAGTATACAAGTGGCCAAAAAACACATGAAAAGATATTAAACACTAATCATTAGGGAAATGCAAGTCAAAAACACAACTGAGATAGTGCTTCACGGACACTAGGATGGCTACTATCCATAAAAATGGTAAGCACAAGGATTGGTACTGAGATGGAGAAACTGGAACCATGTGTGTTCCTGATGGGAATGTAAGATAGTGCAGCTGCTGTGCAGTCTGGCTTCTCAAAAAATGAAACATGGAATTACACTGTGGCCCCAGCAATTCCTCTCCTGGTTATACACCTAAAACAATTGAAATCAGGGTCTTGAAGAGACATTCACATTCCTGTATTCACTGCGGCACTATTCACAATAGCCAAAATAGTGGAAGAAACCCAGTGTCCACTGAAAGATGATTGGATAAGCACAGCATGGTATATATATATACACAATGGGTATCGCTCCGCCTTAAAAAAAGGAAAATCTGACACATGCTACAACATGGATGAAACTTGAAGGCATGCTAAGTGAAATAATCAGTAACAAAAGCACAAATATTGTCTGATTCCATTTATATGAGTTGCCAAGAGTAGTCAAATTCTGACATTGACAGAAAGTAAAATGGTTTCCAGGGACTTGTGTGTGTGTGTGTGTGTGTGTGTGTTTGTTTACTGTTTAGTGAGTGTAGTGTGTCAGTTTGAGAAGATAGAGAGTTCTGGATACGGATAATGATATTGCACAACAATGTGAATGTACTGAATGCCACTGAACTTAAAATGGTAAATTTTATGTATATTTTGACACAATAAAAAAGAAAAAAGAAAAAAAGGCAGCTGGACTATTATATGCTTCTACATTCAATCTCTTGAAATATGGTGCTTTGCAACAACTGTTGATGCGTAAGTGGAGAAAGAGGAATACTTTTACACTGTTGGTGGGAAAGTAGATTGGTTCAGCCCTTAGGGGAGACAGTATAGAGGTTCCTCAAAGTGTTAAAATAGGTCTACTGTATGACACAGTAATTTTACTCCTATCTACCTGAATAATACAAAAACACCAATTCCAAGGGAAATATGCACACCTATGCTCACTGCAGCACCAATTACAATATTTCCAAGCCCTATTTCTAAGGCATGGAAACAATTTAAGTGTCCCAAAACAGTTGGGTGGATCAGGAAGATATGGTATGTATACACAATGAAATTTGTATTCACCTATCAAAAAAGATAAACTCTTGCCATTTGTGAAAACATGAATGGAACTGGAGGGGATTATGCTAAGTGAAGTAAGTCAGAAGGAGAAAGACAAATATTGAATGGTGTCACTTACATGTGGAATATAGAAAAACAAACAAAGGGTCTGATGAAGTCAAACCAATAACAAATCCTAGAAATCTGACTGTAGAACTGAAGTTACCAGAAGGGGAGGGGAGAAGACAAAGTGGGGGAACACAATGGACTGTGGTGGAGAACTACAGGTGTTTTGCTGGTGGGGTGGTGAGGTAACAGCACCTGAAGGGGGAGAGCCTATACCTCTAAATCACCAACAATGTTGTAAACCAATGTTTTTTTTTTAAAACATTTTTTTTTAAAAAAAAAATGAAGAATTATGTTGTTTTGGTTGATGTTTCTGAAGAAAATCTGGCTTCCTATAGATACGTAGTTTGAAAAAGGAATTCTTAAATAACTATGAATATTTTGTTATTTAATTGGCAATTAATCAACTTGTAATTGTTTAGTTATGAATCCTTTAATAGTTATGAATAGCCTATGATATTCTACAAGCTCGACAAGACTAGTTGCAATGTAGAATTTGAAACACTATTCACACTTTTTTGTTTTACTACATTAAAATCTATTGGTCTATGTCACTCTTCAAATGGATCTTGAATTCATGTATGTTTGTAATGTTCTATATTGGTCATTTGGAAAATATCTATTTACTAATTATCTAACACAGTGGTTCATAGCTGGGGGTGGATTTTACCCTCTAGGAAGTATTCGGCAATATCTGGAAACAGTTTTGGTTGTTCCTCTTGGGGTAATCACTGACGTCTGTGTAGAGACCAGAGATGCTGCTAAGCATCTTCTGATGCACGAGACAAACAGTCCTCCACAACAAAGAATTATGCAGGCTACAATGTCAATAGGCTTGGGGAACCAAGTCTGGTTATTGTTGACATATTTCAATATACAATATCAAAACTTTTTATTTGTTATCACTGCCAATCTTCTTAGAAAAGTTTTTACGTATTAGGAAGCTGTCAAGATCATAACTCAAAAATTCTAATTTTAGCTTTCAAGCTCAAATTTTATCACCTATAATACATATTTTTCAATTACTTTCCTTCATGTTACACTGCAAACTTTCTTAATTTTCAAGAAATTGTCTTAGAAATAATCAAACCTGAAGAACCACATTTGCCAGTTGTGTTTGCAATTGAAATTGGTGTTCCATGAAAAATGAGTTCATATTTCTCAGAATCACACAACTTATTTTACTCAAGACAGTCATTGCACTTGGATATAGTATAAATGCTTTATGGGAATTCTCCTTTTTCTTTTGTTGCTGTGAATGCGTTCAGTTACATGGAGAGATTCTTCTTAAAAATTTACTTCTCTATTTGCTACCTTTATTGAGCTATAAATGACAAACAGATATTGTATATATTTAAGGCATACAATGTAATGCTTTGATATACATATAATGCTGTAAAATAATTTCCACAACAAGCTAATTAATGATAACTAGTTATCATTTATGTGTGAGTATGTGTAAGAACAAACAATACAATACAGTATTAATAACTATCGTCACCATGGTGTACTTCAGATTTCCAAAACTTTTTCCTCTGCAAATTGAAACTTGAGACCCTTGAACTTACGGTAACTGCTTCAAATTCTGAGCAGTATAAGAACTTAGGAAGCAAACCTTTTTCAGTGGTTTAACTGTTTGCAATTAAAAGTTGGAAGTCACTGCAATGGCCAACTTTAATGCTCTGCTAAATAATTTAGAACCTTC